TCTGCTTCACACAAAACCAACGGTTTACTTAATGGTTGCACCTGTTAGATAGGCAGTGCCCTCTTGCTTTAACTGCTCAGTCTGTGGTCTCCCTGGTGTTTTCAAAGACATCTCCAAGACTGTATGTTACTTCATACACTTTAACATAGTGTAACGCTATGCTAAAACCAGATCCATTCTTCAAAACAGCATATAATTTCTTCTGTGAAAGAAGTCTTCAGAATTCAGTAAACTTTGTTCCACAAGACAAAAAAAACAATCCAACCCAAAACCGAAACAAATCGCCCCCCAAACAGCTAAGCAAGCAACCAAAAAACCCCCGAAGACACCCGTGTTTTGAAGGGATACCTGGCAGAAAGCTCTTTCTTTAGGTGAAATTGCTCTGTCTTTGTTCTCCTCAGGTTGCTCGCCATTTGAATAAAATCCTTATCTAGAGATTCTTTGTATTTTTCCAAGAGATGAAGTTTCTGGATCCAAAGGTGCCTTTTTTCTCCTAGTTCTTGCTTGAGAACCTGTGGAATTTTGAAACTGAGTTGCCACATAGTTAGATGAGGAGCAGAGCCGGAGAGTAAACCAGAGCCCAAATTTACATGATGAGAGTCTATTTCCCTGCTCTACCATTTAGTATCATCATCTACATTCAACACTATCAGCAATAAAGAAGGTAGGTGGTTGGCAATATTCTTTAATCTACTTATACAGTATCTGGTTGGGGAAGGGGTTCAGGGGAAGAGAAGTGAGGAAAAATACAGTTTAATAAGGAAGCGATTATAAAGGAGAAATGAGTGTTTGTTTTGTATAACAGTGTTTTGTGCTGTGTAATAGGTTAACAAAGCTACTTAAACTCCAAATCTGTGCCTTCTCACTCCCAAATCTGACGGGATATGGGGACAGACAGGCTAGACTCCTGCCAAGTGTCAGTACTTGAAGAATTTTTTTTTTTTTAAGATAGAACATTGTGCAACAGTTTGCACAAGAAAATGTAAGCCTTCTATATTCTAGTTCAACTTGACAAATGGCTCCCACTTTTTCCAAAATGTTACTTCTATGTCAAAGGCCACTCTCAGACTTTCTTTCTCTGTAGATCTAAGCTACACAGACAGTCCTCTTCCTCACTTGTAAAACAAATATATGGTTAGCAAGCATTTATGGTGAGTGTGGCAGAAGATTACATTGTGCACAAGGGAGTCTTTACAATTTACCCCAGAAAATCTCCATCACAAGATGGCCAGGTACAGCAGCAAAAAACATATTTCATAAGGGGAAGTTTTAATACTAACCATTTTGCAGGAAGTCCTAAAATTTATCATTTATAGAATCATAGAATGGCATAGGCTGGAAGGGACCTTAGAGATCATCTAATCCAACCTCCCTATCATAGGCAGGGACTTAGGCAGATTTAGACTTCTGTGATTCTTTCCTCTAAGTACAACTAAGTCTGTTGGCACCAATTTGACTTTGTATTACAGCAAATTAAAGAAAAAATCCACAATAAATCCATATTTCAGTTTGTCATACATGCCTAGCAGACGAAGTTTAAGGGAAGACCTCTGTGACAAAGGCTTTCGGTTTTACCTCTGATTTGTAGGAAGAAAAAAGGGAAAATGGTAAAAATGAAGTGTTAAGTAACATTGCACCCTCTGTATTTCTCTGAACAGTGACTTGCAGTATAAAGCACTGAGAAAGAAGAATCCAGTCCTCTTTCTCTGACCTACTTCAATTGAACATACAAAATAGAGTCCTCAGCTTTTAAAGAGTGCTTAATGAAAGTCAAACGAAGGTCAGGTAAAAACGAGGTTCATACTCCTGAGATTTTACACAAGTTCAAAGGGGAAAAATATCAATCCTACAAATATGGGCCAAGTTACCCACTTGAAAGTTAGAGTCTAATGTTCATGAGCTTCAAACGAAAAAAAAACAAAACCAAAAACATAGCACATCAAGTATCCTGCTACAAAAAAAGAGAGAGCCTGAGCAGTGTTGCTAGACGGGTTTACTTGGATGACATGGAATGTGACCATGTGCAAATGCCCATATCCTGAAGATCAGTTTCTCAGCCAAGGAACAGGCAGCACATGCTCTTAGAAATAACATAGTTTGATACGTAAGTGGCTTATCGGGGAACTTGTGCTACAGTCTTATCTTCCAGCAGGAGAAGAGTGAGAAAGTTTTTACTGTCACCATCTATATATGTTTAAAAATATGTATATACACACAAAAACATAGGCACACTTAACACTCACTTCCTGTAGAATATACTTTAAAACTTACTTAACATACCAAAACTCAGCAAAACATGTCCATAACATTTCACAGGAAATGATGGAGAAGTGTTTAGGCTTCAAGCGATAGTGCATGGTCCAAGATTTAATTTTTTTTTTCTACCAAAGCTTTCTCTAAAAGCTACTTTGAATCTTTCTTTTTTTCTGGATTTACTGTTTTTTGGATTCATATACCATATTTCCCACATATCTGGCTTGTTCTAGCTAGGTGAAGACAATACATTTGACATAAAGTCACTTCCCATCCCCGTGGGTCCCAGAGGGACAGGACCTTTTATTTTTAAAGAATCTTGTTCTTCCTTGATCCTCCAATAGCTTAGTTTCCAAATGCATCACTCAGAGCCAGAATAAGATTCATTTACCATGATCAACTCCAAAACCCACACCAAAAGTTTTTAGCTTCACATGTTTAACAAGAATATGATCCCAACGTGAATGGTAAGTTAAGCATTTTTCAGCTGTGACAGCTTTGAAAGAGGAAGTTTTCAATAAACATTAAAAAGTTACAGCAATGCACAAGCCAGCAGTTTCCTAGAGTCTACCCAAAGTCATGTCATGGTGAAGACTGAGATGCTTGCACCTTCTCCAAGGGGAAGCTTTCATGATCTACAAGAAGAAACCAGAAGACCTGGCTGCAAAGCTGGATAGATCCATCTGCCCAGAAAAGATGAAGAGGACCAGCAGCAACATTTTGCAGCACTAGAGGAAAAGAAGAGTAGCTTTCTACTTAAAAGCTAACAGCTTAAAAGCAACCCGTAATATGGTGCCACCTGCTATTACCCGAGTGGGACGAATTGAGGTTTTTGCATCTATTAAGGAGCCAAAAGACAGCTTTAGTATACAGTTCAGCGGAGCTTTTTGTAGCAGTGTTCCTACCAACAGATTAGTAAGAAAGAGCAGGTTAGAGAAAAAGCTACATCCAGTAAGATGAAAATTTCAGAAACTGCTGTTACAAAGGAGGGGAAGAAGGAACAAGAGCGGGAGAATTGAGCTGTGTCCGCAGACTTCTGCTACCACATGGTGTTTTTGCCAGTTATCTTGAGCAAAAGTCTTTACTCAAGCCTCGTAAGAGGTATGAGGAATAGTAAAGATACATTATGCAAGATAAAGTTGTAAAATACAAAGTTTTTGTAGAAACTTTTCCCATGGAGTGCATCCAGCAAAAGCAGAGCACTTTGCCTTTCAAAAGAAAACAAACCCTATGAAGGTTTTTATTTGGAACTCTGGTTATAAAGCCACCTCCTTCCTCCCTTTGATGGTAAAATCATCCACTGTCGTAGTCAGATGCAGAGCACAGGGGAAAATGGGTGCTCAAGGCACACAGAAACACATAGTGGGCAGAAAAGTTTCATAGCTCACACAATATAGCATTGTCATCTGACCTCATTTTCCTCTTCAAAGTGACTTGCTTCATCTACCCTTTTGTTCAAGAATAGTTTTAACAAAGTGAGAACTCGCCCAAGACAAGTCAGGAAAAGAACAGCGTTTAAGTGTAAAGCAATCATTCCCTTCCTCCTCCTCAAAATAAGAAAGTTACTCAAGATACTTCTCTCCATACAGTCATCTCTGACCCCCAATGGACTGCTACCATCTCAATTAATTAATATACACAGCACGCAGCAGTAAAATACCCACCTGAAGTTTTTGCACAGCCCCACTACTTCATAAAGCAGCTTCAGAGAAACAGTTACTTACCACAAGTTTTCTTTCCCAAGCCTCTTGCATGTTTACATGAGGATCTTTTACCCATTGTAAAGAAGTCATGACAAGCTCCTCTGCTTCAGAGGCTTCTTCTTGCTTGGGGGATGGGGGAAAAGTAAAAAACAAAACAAAACAAACTGGCATTTCTAGTACTAGTCTGACAAAGCTGCCTAGAATTACTCAGATTGTAAGTTACAATGTTAGAGTAGGTATTAAGTGATATTGTTAGAGTAAATATGTCCCCATCTCCACCCCAAAGCAGCTATCCTTAATTTTTCAAAAGGAGTAAACATGACCTGATTATCAATACTTGGAGAAATCCTAATTAAAAGGCTGATAGAAGACCACATCTAAATTCACACAAGCTCTGCCACTGACCAGGTTTTGCATGACAGTCTTAAATTTTTCTCCTATGTATTCAGGTCCCTGAAGTAAATTCAGCACTTCATAGTCCAGTGTTTCATCCAGGGACGTCCATTCAGTCTTCGTAATCTTTGAAGAGATGGAAGAACCAACTAGATTATTTTGACATCTCTTTATTACAAGCCAGCATCAGTGACATTTAGACTTTTCTGAAGTATCCCTGCATTGTGTTTACCAGAAGGTCAGAGCTACCAAAACTTTAAGCTTGTAAAAGCTTTTCAAAACCATCATGTCATGGGTGTTTAAAAAAAAAAGCAGGCCAGCCAAGCTGCTAAGTGATCCAATGAAAATTTTCATGTCAGGAGTAGGCAAGAGGAAATCAATAATCAGTTCTCTTTATTCAGAAGAGGCTTTATGAAGTCATGAATAAGCAGAGCCCTTACTTGCTTTACAGGTGATTTGGTGTAATCGTGTCTCATTACAGCATTTGAGGTAAACAGTGACTCACTGTGGCTGCGGGGAGCTGCAATAAGGGACAACACGTTACTTTCGAAACAGCTGCCGAGCCAGTATACCTCTGTCTTCCGTGCCTGCAGTTTTAGTCCATTAGTAGATTTTTTTTCTGTTGCAGATTCTAACTCTTTGCAAAGGCACCACACACAAAAGCAAGCAGCAGCATGGTGAAATCTTTCAAGAGAAATCACTGCAATAGCGTGTATTTGTTATCAGGTCTGGCGCACAGCTTGCGTCTGAAGGGGAGACAGCACTAGGAGGAAGGATGGGACTCTATGGAATGTCTTTAGGGAAACAGGCACAGAAAAGCTCAGATAAAAATCTGAACCAAAACCATAATGTACACGTAAGTTGTTTTTTTTTCCCCAGTAGTTCTTCACTAGATTGCTGGACAGCTATGAGAACAGCAAATTAGAGACCAGACTTCCAGTGTCATGTGAAGTGTGTCTAATCAAAAATGTAGCTCCCAAAAGTCACCAAACCACCTAGCTGGGTGTTCCACAGAGGACACGGAACAAACTCCAAACCAACAGGCTCAACTGCAGTACTAGGATTTTGTCAGCCCGTGCCAGACCCATCAGAAGGATATCTCTTATCCTCTTCTGAGTCACTGTCCAAAGACCTTAGAAAGAAAGAACTGGACAAGACTTCTAAAGATCGGTTTCCATTGTACCTGCTGAGGGGCAAGGGAATGGTACCTACAGACAGATGCTTATCAGAGTTTCTAAAGAAAATATTAGATGAAGACTCTACAACCTTGTCAAGATGCTTACTATAATGCTTAATTTCCTTTTTCACTACATTAGACTTCAAGGAAAAAGAAATCTCCCCTCTTGCAACTGAAAACAATTGTTTGTGTCCAGTGTAGGCAGTACAAGAAGAATAGACCATTACTTTCTTCAGCATAATAGCCTTTATATATTTGAAAACTTGTATCTTCTCCTATCAGTCTGTTGTTCTGCCAGCTAAATGCATGACCCTAGCTCTTCCAGATTTACTTTGTAGGTCTCCTTTTTTTAGATCTCCAAGTGTTCTATTTCCGTTTCTTTGGACTTTCTCCAAAGTACTTCAGGCAATATTGTAACCTTCACATTCTGTGCTTGCATGCTAGGATTAATGGCTTTGAATTCCAGGGTTATCTAATGATCTACAGGGAATTAGCTTTATTCTTCTTTTACTGATGCAAGACAACTGGGATAAGATTCAATAAAGATTTGATTCATACCTCAGAAGACTGAGCAAGTTCCAGTTCACAGTGCAGTGAATCCATCCCTTCAGGAACATTACCGTTAAGTTTACACAACGATGGGAAACTCAAACCATTTCTAAAAGTAGGGTGAAAAAAAAGTGTATCAGCCCTTCCTGACTTATGAACTGCATTCCCTGAGACTTGTTCACAATACTCACGAGATCAGCTCTTGCTGCATGTGTTGCATGTTCTCCAGTAGTTGTTTTTTTTCTGCCCGCAAAGTCTAAAACATACATGAGACCTGGTTAGAATGTTAGTTTGTCATGCAGAATAAGCATAGGACACGAATGCTTTCCCCCTACATAGTTAAAAACTAAACTTGGTCCCATACCTCTATTATTGAGGAACACTCCACAATGGTTAACTTCAGTTCTTTGATGTCTTGCTCCTTCTGCAGAGATTGTGGAGAAAGGAATCTTTAAAGCACACAACCTGACAACTAGCACATGGAAGCGCATTTGAAATACAGCTATGGTGCTTTGTAACCAGAATACTACTATACTCAATCCTATATCACAGCAGTAAACCGTATGATTTAGGTTTGAGCAGCAAACTAATTACCTAACACAAAAATAGTTGCAAATTTAAAAGAATACTATCAATTACCTTGCATATTGGCTAACAAAGCACTCAGAAGACTTTTCTATGTAATGCCTCAAGGAGACAGAAAAACCTCTTTCCAGGTGCTGTGTTCTAATTTGTTACTTACCTGGTTTCCATACCAGCAGTAGCAGATTAAACTAGACAGAAGCACTCTAGTTTCAGCTGAAAACCTGGACTATACTATACCTAGTACAACTTTTAATCCCAACTGACCCTTAAAAAAAGTTGCCGTGTTCTGAGTTTACTCTCATTAGTTTCCATGATTAAAGGCATAGAGTGAAGGGCTCTGCAGGTTGAACCCCACCTAACGGCAGGGCTGATGGAAAACGTATCAACCCTCACGGTACGACTGAGGAGTTAGTAGAAGTAGCAGCTTTCTCAGCATCACAAACTAGCAATGGGCTTCAGCCATGTTATACCATTACAATAGAGGACTCTGCATAGACAAGCAGAGCATTTCTTAGAGAAAACAGGAACTTCAAGGAGGAGCTCTGGTCCTCTCACCCCTTTTATGATTCTTCCTATTCTTTCTCTCAGAAACCTCAGATATTTTTAGAGAGATGAAATACACAGAAAGCTAAGCAAGAAAGGTGAGATTATAGAACCAGACTTCCAGCCTTGGCAGGGACAACTGATGAACGGTGCTGAAGGTTTTAAAAAAAAATAAATAAAAAAAAGGGAAAAAGAAAAAAGTTTTTTCTATCTTCCCATACTTTCTTGCAGGCATGGAAAAGAAAGGTTGCCATAATAACTTTCAGTGATCATCAATCCTATTCAATCTATCTTTGTATAAAGAGCTATAAGAGGCATTTTTAGCTTACAAGTAAACCCTTAATCCCACAGATCCTAACGGCAACAAGCAAAGTCAGTTTTCCACACTAGTTCCTTCAAGATTATACAAACCAGTCACCTTTACCTACAGAAACATGCAATCTAGCAGTCTACTTTCAAAATTCCCATTTAGTCAGTAGACTAATCAAGCCTTTTTAAAAATAAAAGGATACTATAGAGGCCACAAAAGCTTTGAATCATTCAAGAACGAGAAAGTGAAAGCTATTTTTTTAAAAAAAGTTCATTCATTTGTGCCTTTAAGCTGCTTCTGGCAAAAAAAAACCACACCCAAACAACCTACTAAAAAACATTAAGCTACAAAATTATCAGCTGGATCACACTGAATTAGGTTCTGTCTTGTGAGTATTTGAATTCAGGTGCACTCATTTTTGCAGACAGCCTATTAGTCAACTATTTCATCAGCTGATTTAGAACACTTTTTGCTAAACAGAAACTATTAGCCTAGAAGACTGTTTGCATAATTCATTAATCCAGAGAATGCCAACACCCTTAAGTAGTCTTACATCTTTGCTTTCTAATACAAAAATACAAGTTTAAAAGCAACATCAGAAATGTTGACTTCAGCAAAGCCTAGATAATTACACCTCAGTAATGAGAAAGGACAGATCTGCTTTTCCGTTGGGCTCTGAATCACCATTTCTAGTTTGACACAAAAACTAAGCAACTTAAGTAAAAGACATGAAAGGAATGATCTTCTGCAGATATACAGGTACATACTTTTACCAACTGTTGAAGGAAGTAGTCTTTAGAAGTTTCTGTGTGTTTTTTTGAAGTTTGCAAGTTTGTTTTGTTTTAATAGGTTGCGATTTATTTATTTTTAAAATAAAAGCAAAATCCTGAAACCTTTAATTATGCTGACTCATAACCAGGTCCTAAAGCAGATCTCGCCTACTTTGAAGCCATTTATAGGATCAGGTTCTGTAGTGTGAGAACAGTAGAAATAAAAGTGCCACAGTGAAGACTATTGCCTTGCCTTTTCACAAATCATCCCATAGCCAGTATTTTCTAGTCAAGACAGTAATGAAGTAGAAACAACTAACCTGCATCAAGCTTGCCTCTTTATTTACCGCAGTGGTCTCAAAGATATGTGCTTGGACCTGAGAATGAAAAGATCAAAAATAATTCCAGTCATCAGTATGCACTATAATAGAAGTCTGTTGCCATCTGCTACTTGGAAGGGGAAAAGGGTATCAAGATCCCTTGCTTAGAAAAATTAAATTTGTCTTTGAATACCTTGCATGGTGTGTTTCAAAGTTCAAAATTTGCACCCAGTTCAAAGTGAAAGTCACCTTTCACAGTCACCTTTGCTTCTTCTTGTCTGTCCAGACTAACAGTTTCAGCAACATCAGCCAAAGCATGGCTTTCTAACGTATTTTTCTCAAATAGCTGGGGAAAAGATTCCCTAAAAGTTTAACTTAGAGGAAAGAATGAAACTGGATTGTTTATATTAGCCCAGTTTTTAGCCTCTCAACAGGAACTTTCTTAGTCAAAGCTGTGGCACAGTCTGACCTATGACTGCACTGCAGTTCTTTAACACAGACAGGTTCAGGTTTCTACCTTCCAGAGGTAGAAATTCCTCTCACTAGACCTAAGTAAACTATAGGCTGTCATTTTGTTCCTCCTAGAGTAGAAATGCTTACTTGAAGCTCAGCTGCATTTTTAGACAGCTCCAAAATCTTCCTTTGAAGTCCATCGGTGTCCATGCTATTCCTAATATTCTGAACAAGATACAGAGTGTTTAGGCAGAGCTGAACAGATTGACGGCTTCTCCCTGAAGAAACCAGGCAAAATGGCATCTCCACCCCCAGGCTACTGCCTACTCTCAAGCACTACCAGCATTTATGCACATATATTGTTTGTGCTTGCCCCACTGAAACTGTTTCTGCTCCTTTTCTCCCATTTCTCCAGAGTACTGTTAAAGGAGAAAAACCTCAAAATGTGATTTATAAGCACTACTAGACCTAGAAAGCTAAAGAAAAGCTTTCAGGCCTCCAGCATGAGAATTATTTTTGGAGAGATGTAGTTTAATAGCTATTTGGACTTATGGGCTTTTCAGAAGACCAATCTGGAGCATGTTAAACATGCCAAGAACAATGACTGCTATGTTGTTATAACCAATAGATCTCTGAATCCATAAGGTGTTTCTTTTCATTACTATGATTTAAGCCATTTCTCTGTTTTGTCCTAAATAGTCTAAAATACAGGCTGTAAGCAAACATTAAAACATTTTGTCACCCGATAAAAACTGGCTTATAAAGTATCTACTTTAATGAAATAAATTTTAAATTAAGAATGAATAGCTCTCCTCTGAACAAAAAGAAAAAAGACAAAACCCAAAGCCTAGAGCTCCGTTAACAGCGTTTTCCCTCCAAGCCTGCTGTAGGTCCTTGACCAGTGTCAATGGATACATCTGTGAGTGGAGCCCTCAGCAACTGCATTTTTTTGGAGTTACAGTTCTGTACAGGGCTCCTCCTTTGGATCTTAAAGGAGGGAAATGGAAGAAAACATGAGATGAAACAGTGTTAGATGGAGATTGTTTTAATATAGTTAGTATATTTATAGCCATGTTAACTGGAAACATTTGGAATTTTCTATAAAACTTTGAAAAAAGAGGGTAAAAAAAGCTGTTTGTCCCTGCCCCCCATGCTTCCCCAACCTCATACCCTTACTTACCCAGCAAACGAAAAGTCTGACGCATGGTGCAACTTCAAGGTACAAAGTTTTATGAGGTCATTCTTGTAAAACGTGAGATATTTAGACAACCTAACTAGCATGTCAGGTTTCAAAGTCTGACAAACATTTCATTTTTTAAATGGTGGGCCCTTAGCTAGGCAAGAACATGTACTTGCAAAGTTATGGTTTGTTTTACCTCTTCCTGGAGAGAAGTAATTTTGATGACGAGAGACTGATTTTCTTTTTCCTGATCAGGTTTATCAAGGTGGGGGGAAAGGGGGTTGGGGGTGGGGAGAGGGTAGGAAAGGAGAAAAACAAAACAGTTTTATCATGTCAAATTCAACATTCTAAGCCAAACTAAGCCAAAAAGCAACAGACCACAAACACATCCAGGGCTCAATACGAAGCTGTAGTGTTGCATTTCTTCACTTCAGAGAGCAGAGCAAAAAGGGGAGTGCTGAGGCTGATCCAGCCCATGAACTCTAATCGAAGGGTTGACACAGACATTTCAAATTAGAGTAAAACTCAGACCACTAGATGATAGGAAGGAGGTATTCAAGGCCAGAGTCAGCAAGTCTAGTTGTGATCATGCTTGAGGTAAGACAAATCTGGAAAGTCTATGTGCCACACTATACTTTTTTTCATATCAGACATGAAAAAAAGGCAGCAACATCCAACTCAGTGCCTCCACTGCACAGGGAACAGCAGCTAAGGGACTTATAAGCACAACTACAAAACTTCTAATATTTCTCCCTCCTGCTCTCTCTCCTTCTCACAAGCTGAATTATGCATATAATTTGAAACTAAAACAAAACAAAGATACACACACATTGCAGCAGGATAACACCCAAAAAAACCTTACGTTCTTGCTCATCATGAAAGACTACTTCTGATTCCTAAATACTCACCATCAGCAGTGCACAGAGTTAAAAAACACCAGTTTTCAGCTGTGCCCGCACAGCAAGACGCAGAGGCGCCACTGTAGCGTGAACAACACACATAGCAGCGATGCAAACATATGTTCTCCAGAAAGCACACGATCTGGTGTCTGGCAACACCTGCTAAAGCTGCAGCCACATCAGCCTTGTTACCAGGCTGCTTTACACCTCTTACAGTCACACTGGCTTTGCTGCTCAGACACCTGGGGTGCAATTCAGATGCTCTCAGGTAGGCAGCTCATGCCTTGAGACATGCCAAGGTGTGTTGTCTGGCCTCCAACAATCAGTCCAGAACAGAGACGTTTTTGATAGGCCCTTGTCATATCTGCCAGCCCATACAGACATTAACAATAACTTAGGGGTGTTTTGGAAAATGGCTCTTTTGCGTGGACATCTGAACCAATCTCCTGTCCCTGCTGGTCCTAGAAAAGCTGCGTGAATTTCTGGCAGAACATCACCAACTTCAAAACAGACAGGGCTCAACGATGGTAGCATGAGAGCTGCTGTCTTTAAGCATAATTATATGTGAGATTGGCCCTTTTAATTGTTTTCTTTATTGTAACTGACAGTAGTTTAAAGAAACTTCGAAGCAAAAACTTCACAGCGTTTTCATAACACTAATAAGTCACATTTCAAACATCTTCAAAAAGCCTCAGTATCTACTGGTACAGAGAAGGTCATACTGCTGATTTTCAGTCTGAGCAGTCATGCCATTGTTACAGCAAGGAATGAGATGCAGTACAATATAAGCTGAAAAATAAAAGCACCTACCAGCTGTTTATTGTGGCAGAGAATCTGCTGTCTCTTCTCTTCTGACAAGTTCAGGTTATGTTTTACTTCTTCTAGTTCTTCTTCCAGCATTTTGGCTTTCAGCACAGAATGCTGGATGCTGCGTGAGGGGAAGTAAATCCAGATAAACTTTAGCAAGTTACTGATGGTCATTAGATAGGCTTGAAATACTAAGAAGAGTATTTTTAGAAGCCACCAGGGACTTATTCTTTGGCACAGATACTTAGCAGAAGAGCAATAAACGAGTATAAACCCATTCATTTTTGCCCAGTAAGTAAAAGCTCATGAACTTATCGTCTATTTATCACCCCCTTCCACTCTCATAGTAAGAGATGGAACCCCAGGCAAACACAGGACCCAAGACAGCATGCTTTTCTTTGCATCCACCTCACAGCCTAGCTTGTAACGGTCAAATGTATCAGGCTACCTGAGCACATAAACTCATCTTTACAATACTTCATCGTTACCAGTTATGGAAACTATTTCAGTTCAGTTTTCAAGGGTAAGCTCGGCATCGTTTTCTTATCCTTATCTGATACCCCAAACAATGTATATTTAACCAACAGGGCAAGGCCCTTCTCCTGGCTATCTCTAGGCTGCAGAGCACATGGTCCAATATAAGGGCACACGTCCCATGCCACCTATGCTGCAGGACTCTTGCCTTAATCTCCTCAGAAGATGCTGGGAATGGTTTGGCAGTTGACATAACTATACCACGTTTGAATTAATTAGGTCGGATGAGCGTTATGAACTCACTGGAAAAACAGGCTCGTACTCATGGCGTTGATGGGTCCCCAAGCTGCAGCAATACTAAGCTAGTGAGATAACTCACTTTAGTTCCTCAAGTGACTAGCAAAATAGCTCTTACATGCTCATTTCCCCTCTGCTTGGCAGCAAGTGCACCGTCTATGATTGGAAGCGTTCCAGTACTTGGCTGTTCTCTTGGCAATATTAATTTTTTTATCCTCCCCATTCCCCCAGCCTCCGTAATTTGCTTCATTTGATTTTGCCTTACCCTAAAGGTTTTTGCCTGTTTGCACTTACAGCACCTCATGCTGCAAGAGCCAGTCTATATGACGAATGGCTGATTCTATAAAATCCAGGAGGTACAGAGCAGAAAAATCAGGCAAGAGGGTTAAACCTTACAGTTACTACATTAAGTAAAGAAAGTTGCTGTCATGAGGCACTGGTGAGGCTAAAAGCATAAAGCAAGGCTAGACCACTTGAAGAAGGCAGGTCTTCCCATGGTCATTACACTGTAGACCTAGTGCAATCAGGGTCTCCCACCTTTTTATTTGTTGACGTAGATCCTCATTATCTGCCAATAGCTTATTGTTGGCTTCATCCATAGCTTCTAGTGTGAGCTTCAGCTCGCTGTTCTCTTCCTGAAGCTTCTGGTTGTTGTACTGCAGGTCCGCAACACAAGTTATCAAGTCAGAAGTCTCCCTGCTCCAGTGACAAAAGCAGGAAAGATTAAGAAAAGTGATTTGATCTAATTTGAACTTTTAAAAAATCCTGATGCTGTGTTGCACTGATTAGAGAGATGAGAGGAGAGCCCACAGAGCACGGGTGACACTGCGGTGTAGTCATTTGCTCTGCACAGAGATATCAGATCATCTACAGATCAGTTCTTTATGGACACCAGGAATTGTTTATTTTTTAAGCATTTTTTTAATGCTTCCTGCAATTCAATTATGCCACCAGACAAGTGCCACATCTGGATGCCTGCATGACAGCGTCTTAAGCCTTTGCTAATCACTTCTTAGGCCACCGCTAATACTTCTGTATTAACTCCACAATTTCTGGATCCTTTCTTTTCCCCTAAGCCATCTCCCACTTATGCTTTTGACTGAAACTTGAATAAGGATCACCCCTTTTGAGATCCTGAGAAATGATAGGGAAGCATCAGAAAGCAGATCTTAAGACTTTTGATTATGCATAAAATGCAAAAATTATCTTTGAAACTTTTGATATTTGTTAAGTGCTTTCCTATTAGCAGAATCCAAGTAAGAGTAATGACTGCAAAAAATAAAAAACACAAAACCAAGGACCAGATTTTCAGGAGATAATGTCTTCTATTGTGGTACACTTAAGAACTTGGGGGAGGGAAGGAATGAGTTTAAAAAGGAAGAGAAACACAGAGCAAAACTCGGACCACAGGGAATTAAAAAGGCAAATGGACACAGAAGGACCAAGATACCTGTAGGAAAAATTATTAGTGTGTTTTTAAGTCTGAGCAGAGGCTGTGAGGAAGAACGTGACAGCATCAAGAGCTAGTGCAGACCAAGGTCAAGACAGTTTCCTGAAACAGTGGTTCTAGGAATTGTTCTCTAGTAATTGAAAGCTAAGAATACTAAATTCTGAGAAAGAATTTCTGAAATGAACTTACATGTCTCCTTTAGATACATCACCCCCAAAGGCCTCCAAGCTTCCTGATGTAACATTCATCCAGGCATCCGTCTTTTTCACTGAAAGAGGTGGAGTTTTTGGTTATAGAGTAAGAAAGTGGAGTTTTCCTGAATGAAAACAGGATAAAATGGTCTGCACCTTCAGAAGTGTTTTTATGCACTTTAAATTCCAGGTCTTCCATGCTTGCTGTGGGTTCCTCAGTGGCACCATCTTCCCTGAAACGAGGAAGCATCAAAAGTCATAAAATCAGTATGACACTGGATTGCTTACCAACATCACAACATTTAAAAGCTTTCAGCCACAACCCACACTGTGGTCACAGTGTCCAGAGACATTCTTTTTTCCAGATTACATAAAGCACAAGCCACAGGAGAGCTTCACAGAAGCTTTTATGAGATTGATAAAAAACCAAATCCACAACTATTACCATTTTCTCTTACAGTCTTCAGTCCACTCTTTCATGATGGCATGGTATGTTTCGAGGTCTATGGTGACATCTTTCTGATCTGGGTCAAGCATGTTGCACAACTCCTCAAGACCACTATCTTCCAATTCCCGACTAGTTGTGTGTCTCAGATAATCAACTATCCTGGAAACTGCTACTCTTCCTAAAAAAACATATAGGTTCTCATGCAGCAGACTGCAAAGTCTAGTAGGCCATTGTAAAAAGCTGTAAAAGAGCATGCTACTGATCTGCATTAGTACATATTCAATTACCCTTGAGAGCTGTAGACAAGTAACTGATCCCTGCAGTCCTAGTATGACTTGAAAAGAAGTGGTTTAGAGCATTTGTTTGGTTTTTCTAATACAGAAGCGTGAAAGTTTAAAAAGAACAAACTCATTGCATTTGATATACTACTACTTCCAGGCCTCTCATCAAATTGGACAAACCCTGTGACTGCCATTATATTATTCTGCTAGACTCCTGCTTTTTCTACCACTTTTAGTCATGTTTGAGGTGGAACTCAGAAGAATTATCTCTTGCTGTGAGATTTACCAAAGGTCTCTCTTCTAACAGAAAAAAGCCTAAAAGAAATAAACAGTCATTTTCAATAAGGTTGATTGCTAGAAGCATGTTGCTCCTCTACTTCTTCTTCATTAACATAGAGCAAAGATCAGCTGAGGCTGGCGAAGTGAGGGAGGAAGGAAGAGACAGGCACCATGGAAGAGGCACAGATATTTATTCTGCATCTGCCACACGTGCAGGCATGTAGCTAAGGGAACTAGTCATTCTAAGCATATCACAGAGTGGCATGCCTCAGGAAACGTAACATGATCTCAGACTTGAAAATTCGTTGAGAAGAGAATAAAATAGACCAATGAAAAGCCACTGGCAAACCTGTGCGCTCTATGTCACATGCATAGAAGATCGTCATCAGTAGGTCTTCTTCACAGATCAAGCTCACATCATGCATGTTGTCAGCTTTGTACCCCAGTGACCTCTTCCTTCCTACGAAGAATAAGTTTGTTACTGTCCATCTTTATTTGCTCACGGTAACTTTCGTACACCACAGCTTCTAACTACAGTATCATGTTTGTAATAGCACAAGCACACATAGCATACCACAGCTGGAATGATACACTTTTTTTTTTTAAGGTGATTAAAACAATCAAATCTAACCAAACCTCCCCTCCCCTCCAAATAAAACCAGAGCTTTTACTGCCAAATAATACCAGGAACTGTTCATAGCTGGAGCCTCTGAGTTGGGAACCGGTTTATGCATCTACTTCTACACATGCATGTTTAGCAACTCCAGCTGTTCTTTTGCATGAGGTTAACATACAACTCAGAAGATTTTAAGAGGCCAGCTATTTCTGCCCTCCTCCTGTAGATAAATTGTAGGGACATCAGCATGGTCAGATTAAGTTATTAAGAAAACAATCTTAAAAAAAGAAAATACCCACAAAATATCCCAAACTCATGTATCTTTTTATATTAAAGCAGACTGAATTAATAGCCAAATCTCTTATTCACAGAAAGGAATTGGCAAATTTGAAAAAGTTTTTGACTTGACTCATTACTTCCTCAATTTTAGATGCATAATATTTTTTAGAGAAAATTTAAGATTTTACTCAGCTCTTTTTGCAGTCTTATTAGATTTGAGTGGTTCTAAAGCACATTGTTACTAGTTTAAGTAGTAAATAAATGTCATCCATGTAGGCTGAATGTTTAGACATCTAGGATTTTGGATTACAAAGGCTTGGTTTTTTTTTTTTCTCCAGGATTTTTACCTGTTTCACTGAAAGATAATCTCTTCGACACAGGAGACTGGATCACGGTACTTTCTGACTTTTTATCTGTTGTGAAGAAATATAAATCTGGACTTGATGTAAGATACTTCTGTTCACAAGGCACGTCTTTATATTCAATATTTGATAAAGCACACAGTTTGTTCTGGGTATTAGCCTCTCTGGGTCTGAAGTAGGATGGAGAAGAGTTCTCCATGGAGCATACTGGTGTCCAGGAGTGGCTGGATCTGTCTTTACTTTTCATGATTGAAGAGGAAGCATTTGCAGAAGAGGAGTCAGACATATGCCTGAAACGAGGTGACAGCAACTGGAAGTCTTCAGAGAAAACACTGCCACTGCTGGCACTGATTAAGTGTGGACTAGTACTATCATGACTTCTAAAAGTTCTTTTCTTCAGTATTTCTTCTAGATTTTTTTTGATATTGCACTGTGGACTGTCAAAGTTCTGGGACTGAAATTTTGGTATCTGCAAAGCAGGGTTAGGGACTTGATCCCTCATTTGTATAGATTTGATCTTTCTGCATATACTGTCCACTGGGTTATGATGTCGTTTGTGAACTCCATGCTCTGAAGACATTATCAATTCCTCTCTTTTGCAAAGTATCTGGAAAGAATAAGGACAAAAATATGAGAGTCAGGATGATTAACACACACATATTATCTGCACCAATTTTTCCATTCAGTAGACAACTTAGAGCTTTGGTAAAGTGATTTGAAAATCCTTGGTCCACATACCAGCTGCTACAGAAACCTTAAATCATGATCTTTAGTTCTCCAGGGAGCTAGAAGTTATGCAGATTTGGAAAAGGTGGGTAAGAAAGAAAAAAAGACTTTCTGAAATCTCACTGCTAATTCTTAAATACAATAACCATGTCGGGGGAGAAGGGAAAATCGACAAAATAAAAACTGAAGAACTCCCTGCAACCTAGCAGCTGATTATCTTTTTTAGATTAAAGGAAGCACTAAGCAATATTACTCAGACCAATTTATCCCAAATTGAGTTTTTCTTTTTTATATCAAAAGTGTTCATTAAAAAGAAAAAAAACCAAACAACTCGCACAACTTTTGAAACTACTACTTCTGATCACATTTGTAGTACATGCGTCCCTCCCTGGTTCCGTGGCTTTTTGCTCTGGTCTAACAGCAACAACTGTCCAGCTGTTTACTGAAGATGTCTCCTACTAAAGATCAGATATCAGCTTCTGATCTCTTTCTGGGGCCTCCCAGTCAGACCCTGCAGCCACGGCTACACAAGTCAGTTTAAGTACTCCAAGCCTGCAACTTTCTTGAAACCATCTCGTGACAGATTTCAGAAGCCAAGATTTAAATGACATTTACTTTCACAAAACATTAGGGTGTCTTTCTGGGTTGGCTCTTCGCAGGTTCTGTGTTGGGTGTGTGTGTGGGGGGAGGCAGGAAAAGCAAGCATAACAAGAGTTTCAGCATTTCAGTGAGCTTACAAGAAAAAAAAAACCAAACAAGCCCCAGTAGTTTCTTTTACTAATTAACCACAACTATCGTGACAACAGCTGTCGTGTTACTACACAGGGAATTACCCAAGAAACATACCCTACAGAGGCACTTCACTCTGTTTTTTGTTATCTGTTCTCCAAGGAGATATTTAAAAAGATATTTCCAGTAAGATAAACAGACCAAGGCACGGATGGTGCATTTTGCAGAGTTAAAGCTATGTTTCAAGTGAGATTCCATCTTTATCCTGCATTTGCAGCCACCTTCTCTGGCTGAGTAGTTGAGAGCTTTCATCTGACACTGTCTCACTGTGGACTTCACTCGCAGTTTCTCACCCCAAAACCCAGCATCTACTGATGCATCAGCACTGAGGAAGTCCATCCACCAGCCAGTGTAATCTAACAAACATGGCTGGACTTGAACAGAGCTCTGTGACAGGCACCAGCAGCTCAACTGAATCTTTGGCATTGAAAAGAAACAAGAGGGAAACGAGTAATACTATTAGAAATAAGCTATGACACTTAGATCATGATAAGATTTTTTGGTGGAAAAAAATAGTTCTTTTCTCAAAAACAGCAACACGCTTCACTAGCATTTAACAAAAGAGTTGCCACTTGTATAAGCTCATGAAGCAAAGGTGAAAATCATATGTAAGCAATAGGCTTATATTGCCATATCAGATAGCAATAGGCATAAATACTCAACATTTTACTTACAGAAGTTTATTACAAAGTTAATAGAGGTTTATTATTGCACACCAGCAGCTTGGTTTTATATACGCAGAGCCAAGAGCTCAGAGTTTATTTTTCTGCCATTGTTTCTGTAAGTAGTAGCATTTACCTTAAAGAACATGTCCCTGACCACAAGAACGATTAAAAAAACCCTAACAATAGTAAAAATCTCAGAATAATTTTAGAGAAGAGACTGCCTTTTATTACTATGGCTGATTTAAAAGTTTTACTCCTTAAAAAAATGCCAGAAAGTTAAAAGTCTCTTATGTTAGAGATATAGAACATCTTTTAAAAGAAAAAACATTGCAGTTAGGTTTGAGTACATTCTCTAAGTGCACAAGAGCCTTCAAGCAGATATAAGTAACCCTCCATTAAAGCATATTTGTCTTTTTAACTACACTATGTTTTTAAATATTGCTTGTAATTCCCCATTAAAAAAAAAAAAAAAAAAAAAACAACAGTGTAAGACCTTATACTTACAACAGCTTTTGGAAAAATACCTTCTATTCCTCTCTGGTAGAGAAAGCACAGGACAACAAAAGCTATCTTAGCTGTTCCTTTGAGGAGGACTAACTGAATGAACTTGGAACTCAAGTAGCAGAGGAGACAGCTGGAACATCAGCTTTATAAGGTACACCTGTTGCTGCCTGCCACTCAGCTCTCAGGCTGAGAGGGGCAATGAGCTGCAATGAGGTGCAAATTAACCATCACTCACCACCTTGCTAACCCTTTTCTCACATCTCTCCTGCAGATGTTACACGAATTGCCCGGAATTTCAAGGCACCCTGTAGTCTCCTTGCTATCTTACTCTTAAACAGGAAGGAAAATAATTATATAGCTCATTACTGTGTTTGTGTTCCTGAGATGTTTCTCACTTCCATTAGCAGTTCTTTCTTACTTTCCCCACCTACTGCAAACTTTCAGGCAGGAGCAGATCTTTCCTAGTTTCTCCTGTGATAGTTTGAGCAGAGAATCCAGAAACTGTATAAATCTCATAGCTCTTACCACTTTTTAAAGGAAGGCAAAATATCAAATGTCTTGGGCTGATGACGTATTAAAGAGTCTCCCTGTTACTGTGTGCTTTGCACTTGGTTGTGTAAGCAAAAAAAAAAAAAAAAGATTTTTTGTCTTTAGGACTGTTAACCAAGTCCTTTTTTCAGCCTTAAATTCTCAAAAAAGATTTGCATTTTCACACTGTGGATCTTTAGGTGTACAAATAATTGGAAATAGAATAATTTTGTTGAAGGGATACCACTGCCTGTCCAATACCTACTGACTGCACAGCTCATCAGACTTCTCCAAATGCTTTGAGAAATGACATATTTCAATCTACCACAGGCTATTTCAGCACTCCTGGAAAAAAAGGCAAGTACTCTCACAGGAGCTCTGTGATTAAAACCCAAAATGTGGAAGTGAGCTGACATTGCTGTTCCTTGTTTTGTGGGAAAACTATTAAACAAAAGTGAAAACTATTAAACAAAAGTGAAAACTTGGCAAACTTTTCATCCAGCAGCAGTACCAAAGACCATGATGCTGATGCAATCACTTTTGGTTTGACTGGCAGGTGAGTGTTTTTGGCTAGACACT